AAAGAGGAGAAAGAGGAGAAAGAGGAGAAAGAGGAGAAAGAGGAGAAAGAGGAGAAAGAGGAGAAAGAGGAGAAAGAGGAGAAAGAGGAGAAAGAGGAGAAAGAGGAGAAAGAGGAGAAAGAGGAGAAAGAGGAGAAAGAGGAGAAAGAAGAGAAAGAAGAGAAAGAGAAAGAGAAAGAGAAAGAGAAAGAGAAAGAGAAAGAGAAAGAGAAAGAGCAAGAACAAGAGCAAGAGCAAGGGCAAGAGAAAGAAAAAGAGAAAGAGAAAGAGAAAGAGAAAAGAGATAAAGACACATGAACCCGAAAAAACTCCGCTTTGCACAGCGGCAGACCCAGTAGAACGAACCAGCCGGAGGGGGGGGAGGGGGGGGGGAGGGGGGGACGGGGGGGAGGGGGGGAGGGGGGGGGGGGGGGGGGAGGGGGGGGAGGGGGGGGGAGGGGGGGGGAGGGGGGGGGAGGGGGGGGAGGGGGGGGGGGAGGGGGGGGAGGGGGGGGAGGGGGGGGGGGAAGCTGGCATTGCTCGCCATTCCCAAGCCGAGCTCTCGCTTGTGAAGGAGAGTGGCATTGGCGTCCCGCAGCAGGTGTAAAGTAGAATTCCCATATTTCACAAGTGCATCTGACAAGGATTCTCCAGCGAAGTCTGTGTTAAAGGCGTCCAAAGCCTGGCAGGAAGAAATCGAAGCAAGACCTACACCGCAGCACCCATGTCTGCATAGGATCACAACACAGGGCAAGTCTTGGCAAGTTCAAGCGCTGCAGCGTTGTACAACTGAATACATGACATACACCACCAGGAGCCAGGGTCACACGCAAGAGCGAGCAGCGGAAGCTGCATGTCGCGCGGCCTCGCAGCTGCACCCAAACCCAAATAGAGCAATATGCCGACGGCCGAGCGATATTTTGCATGCTCGCCTGCGTCCAAAGGCTTGCTGTCCACAGGGAGTGGCAGGCATCGGAGTTGGCTTAGGCTTACGACCCCCAATAGGATACAACTCAAGAAGTTTGCGCAAGTGTTTTGCATGCTGATCAACAGATCATGTTTTACAAAAGTATGATCCCTCTTAAGGAAGTGGATGCTGTCTCCAATTTCGCCTATCCACTCCACTTTGCACTTCACCACCTGCTCGCACTTGCTTCCTTCCCCTGTACCAAAGTCCACATGCAGGAGAAACCCAAGCAACATGTCTGGATTGCGCATGAGTGAGGGGCTTTCCACATTTGCCTCGATTTGGCATTGCTCGGACAGAAAACGGAAGAAGGAGCTGTACCAGGATGTCGTCCCGTCACGTTGGGCTGGGAGCATCATATGCAACCGGTAGCTTGGAGGACCCGAAGATCTTCGGTCGCTTGCTGACCTCGCAAGACACGGAGACTCGCTTCGTCTCTTGCCTCAAAAATGTCCACGCGAGGGAACTCCTTCATCAAACTCAAGGTGGCCCTGGACCGTGGGACGCCGAGCAGCTGCCCCTGCAGGAGCTGGGGGACTTGAACAGTCGGGAGTGCAAGGTGCGCGCGGAGCTCAAGCAAGTCTGGTTGATGTGAGGGCAGTGTGGCTTACTGATTGAAGTGACTGATCTCATGCTGAGGGAGGAGGAGCCTTCTGACCACAAGGCTTCTGTTCCCGGCAGGTCTTTCCATGATTTTCACGATTTTCACGGTTTCCACGGTTTCCGTGAGGGTGTTGGGAGGCCCAAAAAAGCCAACGTGGAAATCGTGGAAAAATTTTGACATCCAAAAGCCTCATTTTTCCACGATTTCCATGCCAACATCCTTCCGGAAACCATGGAATCGTGGAAATCGTGGAAAGATCTGCCCGGGGTGGAGGCCGGGCATTTTTTTTGCTTTTTGTGGGGGGTGTGTCCGACCTCTCCGCTCAAAGCGGCTGCTGCTCGAGAATTCAGCATTTTGCCGAAAAATGCTTGCAAACCGGGCGCGTGATCGGAAGCTGTTTGGAAGGAGTGGCGGATGGTGGCGGTCGGCGTCGGAGCTGCTTGCGGGCCCGAAAGTTTTGAGCCGGAAGCCTGCCAGCCCGAGACCTGCCAGCCCGAGTGCTACTCCCAAGCTGAAGCTGTCACAAGCCGCTGATTCAGCAGCTTTGCGAGCTGAATGCAGGGAGGGCCCCCTTTAGGCACGTCGAACCGCCTTTTGCACGCATTTTAGAATCGAAATTCCTTGAGCTATGGGTCTTAGGCAGAATCGACAGTGCTCCGAAGAGCGTGGACGAACACGGCGTTTAAGCAGTCATTTAAGGAGTCACATCCGCCTCTGCTTTTGGTTTCAAATAGTGCCAGTGCAGTCCACGCGGGTCAATCCAACAAATCCGAGCCGTTCTCGTAAAAGCTCACGACCTCTGGCAATGCTTCGCAGAGCTGTGTGTGCTGTGCCGTTAAAGTGGGGCTGGCAAGTAGTGCGCGCTCGGCTGCAGCTCGTACTGTTTAGGCAGCGTAGTCTCGCTGAGACTTGTGTGCCAATCTTTTCACACAGTCGCAGCGCACACATCGCGCCCACATGCCTGAGCCGGCATGAGCCCTTGTGCGCTTGCTCCACATCCACGATGCCGGTAAGGCAATTGTTCTGTGGGTTTGAAGGTGGCGGCAGGATCGGTGCCGGGCTACCTTTTGCAGACTTGGCTTCCAACCTCCCCGATTCTTTCGGGATGGTTTCGCCCTTGCCTTGCTCAGCATCTCGGCCTGCATCTCCTTAAGGCACCTGGTTGGCCTCCTGGTCGGCCGGCTGCTAGGGTTTGCCAGCTGCCTTGAGTTCGAGCATGGGACCTGCTCAAATTAATTCTGGTGGGCTGGAGTCTGGGAGGCCGTTGCATCGAGCAGGCGGCCGCATGCCTGGAGCAATTCGGCTTTCTGGCCCGGGCACTTTTGCATCTGGTCTACAACACGCGCATTCCTGCAAAGTCGATCAGTACTTCAGCGCAGGCCGGTACACGGCTTTCTCCGTTTCGGAGACGCATGTGAGTTCTTTCGCCTGCAAACATCAGCAGTAGAAGTTCTGGCGAGATAGGCCAGCTTGGCTTAAGAGACTAGACATCAACTGCGAGTCGAGTCGCCGAAGGTTGCTCTCATCTGCTTATGCCACTGCAGCAAGTTGTCGCGAGGCGGATCACCTGTTCCTGGGAATGGACCACTGCTGGGATTTGTCCGCGAGACTTCTTCAAGCCTGCGGGCCGCGACTCTCAAGAAGACGCCGGCGCTGAGGAGGCGCTAGGAAGGTGCCTGGCATGGCCTAGCGTGGCTTTTGGGTCTTCGTAGTGCACAACCCAGGAACCAAACTCCGGCAGCAGAGGGCAGGTTCATGAGATTTCATGAGCCAAAGCTTTCCGCCCATGAACTCCGCTCTGCAATGCCCTGATGGGCATCAGGGCCTCGGACTGAGCCTGCTGAAGGTTCGCAGAACTGCAGGAAACCCATCCATTCCCTAAAGGCCTCAGGGCTGGACATGCTAAACCCCAAGCCGCGAATGCAAAAGATAGACTTCGTTCTCATGCAAAGCTTCAGAAGTCCAGATTGCTGCACGCGTCTCAGTGAAGGCCTTCACCTCTTAAGCTTGCGATGCCTGGCGGCTTGGCCTGCATGAGCCAAGCGGCATGAAGGCCTGCAGGAGGTCCAATGCCCTGCGCTCAGCGACACCAGCATGGAGTTCATGGCAGTATGCTTTCTGTCCGCACAGCTGTCGCCACGATGAAAGTGGCTACAGCAGGCATTACATGACTCCTTGTTGCAATATGTTTGCACCGCGCAGTTGTCGCCAAGAGTTGCGGGGTGGATGCATCTTGCATCGCCGGGTGTCGGGCGTAGCTGCCTCTCTCTCTCTCTCTCACCTCGATCCGGTGGCATGCTGTGCCGGGGTGGTTGTTTTGTCTTGCTGTTTTGGGCGTGTTCAGAAGCAGCACCGTCCAATGTTTCTTTTCAAGAAGAAAACTGTAACCTCTGAACCTTGCCGGCCTCGAAGTTAGCTGTTTTGGTTCAAGAGATGAGTCTGCAGGTTGCTCATCATACAGCTTTACCGTACCGCGCAGCAACCACGGCTCTGTTTGGAGTCGTTGATGGCAGGTACAAAGACAACAGCAACACCACAATAGCTACCTTAACCACCGCATCCACCACAACCACCACTACCGCCAGCAAACCACCATCACAACAAGCATAGCGAAAAAAAGCAGAAACAATAATTACTGGCCACAATATGAGGACAGCAACAACCCATCACGATTGGAACTTGAACCCGTTGCACGCCACCTTTTCAGAGGAAATCAGCCGTTCGTCGGCACACGTCGTCTGACATGGCAATGTTCGCCATTCTGCATTCGCCAGCTGCAGTCAATGCGCCTGCGCTGGCTAGTGACCATTTCCGTACCAGGACCACTCGCAGCCTTGCCATGTGTCTTTTCATGGTAAGGATGCGCTGTCTTGCTAGGCCATCATGCCAGAAGCAGACGCAGGTTGGGATCGGGTGCTTCAAAACATTCTAAGTGAATCTGCCTGGTTTGTGCATCTTCGCACTTGATATTTTTCGCCTGCTGCTGTTAAAACCTGACTGTAGGTGGACAAAGTGGCACCGTGTGCCACGGCATTTCTGGCGTGGCGCTGAGGGCTTTTGAATTTTTTCTCATGTTCACAGCGTTGCCGCATTTTAAGGCCGTGGCTTTTGCTTGCCGGGCAGTGAGAGGTGGGCATTGAGGATGCTGATGACATGCACCTGACAGTGCTGGTGTGCAGGCCATCGAACAGGCGGCGCACGAGGTTGGAAGCCGACAGTCGGACACCGGTGTCTTTGACAAGTGCGGATGCAAGTGCCTTTTGTTCTGGTCATGCAGTAGGTCACTAGGTGATCAGTGATCAGGAGCAGATGCGCACCGTGCTTGTGGCAGGCGCTCGCATTCTATGCCGTGCAAGGGGCAGTCGTGCTCTGACAGCGTTGTTCTGAGTATGGGCCTGGACATCCAGGTAGGTGAAGTGCATGTTTAGCTTTTGAGCAATCAGTGAGGTCATGGAGGAGGTGGAGGAATGGAAGAAACGACCTTCGGAGGCGCGTTGCGCTTTGAGCGCGTTGTGCTTAAGTTGGTACAGTATTGTCAACATTGTCCCGCTAGTCCCTGGGGGTTCTGACACCGGAGGCCGCTCTCCAACGAAAGGCCATCCGCTTGGAAAGGTGCCCCCGCCTGCGGATGTTGCTGGCACATGCAAGACAGCTGCGTCTTTGTACTATGTTGTGCTTTGCAAATAGCGGAGCCTTGCATGAAAGCTTGTAAAGGCGCGCCGGTCGGACGCACTTCGACGAGAAGCGAGGCATCGGCAAGGCGGCGAAGTAAAGGGCTGCGAAGCACCAGTGGTTTGATGTGTCTGGTGATGATGAATGGTTGTGCGAGTTAGGATCGTATCACGTAGACAGCGATGAAGCATCTTTCAAGCACCTTCCATGTCGTCCGGAGCAAAAAAGACTTGCTGTGAGGTGTGTGATTGGTTTCCAAAGCGCGGCTTTGGATACTTGCTTTGCGGCTCCCCGCCACAGGCATGTCTCCGCGTGCGTGAGAGAGAGCCAGAGAGAGAGTGTGTGTGTGTGTGTGTTTCGCGTGCTGTGCTTTTTCTGTTGCTGGTCTTGCCAGAAGCTCATCTTTATGGCAAAAGACGTTCCACAAGAATACCTGAACGCCAACGATGGCAAGGTGCGTTTTGCATCATGTTCTCCCCATGGCTGGCTGCTTCAACGGACGGCCATGTGCAGAAGCATCAAATGATGCAAATGACGTCGAAGGTGCCCATGGAGACAGACGTTGAGTTTTCCCTTGTTGGCACCTTCAGGCCTTGCCTACTGTGTGTGCAATTACAAATATGACAGGGGCCACTGCAAGAGTGCTTCTTTTGTGGTGCAGGGGGAGGCGGCTAGCGAAAAACTTGGTTTTTCCGTCGGCTGAGCCGAGGGCCTAGCAACCACGCTTGCTCTTGTTTGCACGGGATACGGGCCACATGGGTAGAGTTTCTTGCATTTGCTACAGTAGCAGTTGGGATCCCAGGACCTTCGCAGAGCTTGGGCTCAAGCCCGAGGCGGGGTTCTACAAAGTTTCAGCAGAATTTTCTCTGCGTTTCGGGCACACGAAGTCGTGAACAACAGACGTGGGCTGTTTGGAAGGTCGTCGAAGGAGCTGCCAACTCTTTAGGCTCGCGCCTAAGCTGGCTTGAAGGGTTCCGCCGGTGTTCGCTTGTTTTTACTTTCCTTGTCGCAAGGACTTTGTGCCGTTGGACAGGTCTAGACCCGCGCGAGAACCCTGAAGCTCCACAGCTCCTGGCTCCAGCACCAGTCGCTGGGCGGCACACCCTCGTAGGATTCGGAGGGTGTTAAGAGATTTTGGATGATTTCGGCCTTGAGCTGGCAAGACAGCAGTTTTCGCTCGAACATGGCGTCCAGGTGCAGCAGGAAGCCATCCCGTACATTCTCAATGGCGACAACATTGTGGGACTCTCGCTTTCTGATTTCCCTCCAAAAATCCCATAAGTTGGCAAGAGCGATGGTTGAGGGTTTGAGGGTGTTGAGGGTCTTGAGATAGGTCATCGCTGCGGAGACGGGATCGGGGAAGAGCCTCGCGTGCCCCAAGGGCATCTCGCAGTTTGAACAAGTTCGGGTTCTCATCTAAGTCAAGTACTGCATCTCGGGCTTGTTCAAGTGCAATGTTGTGGTGCGCTGAAGTGCCGATGGCTTCCCTGCCAATGAGGTACATGCTACCAATGGTACAGATTGTCCAAGGAATGGCGCAGGAGGGGACCTTGTATGGGATCTTGGGAGCAACTTGCGGATGTTTGGCTTCTTGTCAGGCCAGGAACATGGACTACGGGTTGGCTTATCGCGCAGGCTGTCCACTTGCCTTGGCCTGGTGCCCCAGTGGTTCTGTTGATGCTTTTGAAGATCCTGGTGCTGATCTTTGTTGATTCCTAATTCTTGCATTTCCTCCTCCCAAATGTGAGATACATGGGTATATATTGCTATATTCCCAGAAATCCCCTCCTCCCTCCCGTAGCCCTCCCAAGGCGATTTGTCCCACTCGGGAGCTGGCGATCCAGGCGGGGGACTTTGTATGCTGGCAGCACTGGGTTCGCCCTACCTAGGCCGCAGGTTTTTTCATTACATCGACTAGACCGGATTCAGCTGCGCACAGGCGTACAAGACCCTGAAGCTGATCAGCCATCATGCAAGGACTCTTGACAGCACCAGGTCATGCCTGGACCAGCTTTCGTGTACCCTGGCTGTCGTTCACAAAGACTTACTGGAAGCCGAGGTGTCGAGTGCGCCTGGCCGCGGCCACAGGGACGAGTACTGTCGCAGCGTATCGGAAACGATCGGAGTTGCCATCACGAATCAGAGATTACAGCTGATAGGTTCATGGTGGCTCCATGACCTGGAGGAGGCAAGTCCTGAAGGACGAAGAACATCCATCTTTTGGTGGGGTTTGGGGGTCTCCCTTTGGGAATGTGGAAATCTCCTGTCAGGCAGAGGCAAGAGATCTCACAGGTGGTGGACATCCTGGTCTGCACGCCAGACAGGTGGGACGGAAGTAGGTGCACGTGATCCACTTTCACAAACACCCAAGATTTCCACAAACATAACTGTAGGAAGGGTAGGTACTCCTTCAGACAATTCATCAGAAGCACTGGGCGTTGTGGCTCATACTCTTCGTTCCAGCTCCCAACAACCGACGCAGACATGCGCAGACATGTGTGCAGATTGGTAGTATGCTGAATTATCAACAGGGGACCAGCCCAGTTGAAAAGACAAGGCAAGTCGATCTTGTGCACAAAGGCAGGGAGACACCCAAGCTACCCACATCTACCTACCCATATGTGTCCTTCCTTAAAGTGACACCTCACTTGGCTTCCCCATGCCATGCGCCAGCCCGGATGGCCTTTGCCCAGGCTGAAGGATCACGGGACGAATGTGGGCTCGGGAAGTGGTGCGGGATTGTGCTGACACCAGGCCGCATCCCCACAGCGCTGCGGACGGCGCTGGCGCCGCGGGTTGCGCTGGTGCCATGGAGGTGGCCACAGGCGCCAAAAGGGCTGTGAATGCGAATTTCAGTGAAGATGTGGGGAGCGGCTGAGTCTCATGAGTGTAAAAGAGACAGGGATGAGAGTGAGAGCCTCCAGAGCGAGGCATGCCGCGAGTGCCAGGGTTTCCTGCGGGTGTCTCAGCCTTCGAGCAAGCTGGGACCAAGCGAGGGCCGCTTCGAGATTTCTTGGGATCTGGAGAGCGCCTGGAGGTGGACCGTCCAGGTGCTTCTCCCGCCAGGCATCAGTGGGAATCAGTCGGCGAACTTTTGCTGCTTTGATTTCTTCTGGGGAGCTTCTGTTTTGGGATGTCTTGGTGCGCAGGTCCCTTGAAGTCAGGCTGCGAGACATGCGACTGCGTCACGCCCAGGCCTGCTGTGAGCTTCCTCGGGTTTCCGGATGTTTCCGGCGATGTAGAGGTCATGCGAGAGGGCCCCTCGCAGCCCAAGCCCATCCCAGCGACTACGACTGCGGCTGGGCCACTTGGGCCGCTCTCCGAGGTGCGCTTGGGATTGGAGGGCTGGGCTTGGCAAGGCTTCTCATGGCTTGGCATGGCCTGGCACACAGAACCGATGCCCATGAGGCCCCAAGATGTCCCGACAACGACGCAGGCGGCGCTGCCTTGTCCTTCCAGTCAACCACGGTGGAGCGGCAAGGACACAGTACACGAATGCATGCAATGTGGCAATGCAGGCCAAGGGGTTTATAATGAATCGTGTAGCAAATGCTGCCCGCAGGAGAGAGAAAAACCATGCAGAAGCCCGGCATCGCGTGAGGTCCAGGCCTGCTTTCACGTCAGCGTGCGTAATTACACAGTACGTGAACTGCGTGACTTTGCGAGAGACTTCATGCTGTAGCATCAGGCATTCGACCTTTTGTGTTTGCAAAGATCGAACATTTTTGAATTTTCACGTCCGCGTGTCAAAGAAAAGCCGACTTCTTGTTCTCAGGAGCGGCAGGAGCAGCAAGCAGAAGGCGAACTTCAGCGGCTGCGAAAGGAGCACCTCGGGTCATACGTGGCATCATGAGTCGCGGGCTTCCGCTCGGTGCGAACCTTTGCACTGTGCGCTGAGGCTTGAGACGCTTCGGACCACTGCCACCGCCTCGGTGGAAACCTTGGCCACAGCGCGCAAGGACCGTGGCATCACCGCTTCGCACAGCGCATCTTGAGAAGCCTGCAGGATTTTCTGGAAGAGCGCCAGCAGTGGCAGGCGGATGATGCATGCCCGCTAGTTTCCGCAAGTGCTAGGAACCAATTCTGTTTCGGTCGGATAGTGGTGCAGAGGGATCATGTTTCGCCGCTAAAGTCTCCTGTCGAGGCTGAGCGAGCAGAGCTGCAGAGATGTTTGCAGGACGCTTTGGACGTTTGCGTGCTTCGGGTCACTACTAGTCCAAGTGGCATGCGTTCAGCCCCCTAGCGCGTGTACCGGTGTACCCATGAGGCGAGTCAGGATGGTAGAGCCAAGTCTACACCGGGGGCTTTTGCAAAACAGATCCTGAATACCATTGTAACATCGCAAATCACAAACCCACCCAATTGGGCGCTGATGTGCAGGAAGCCCAGCAGAAATGCGATTCGATACCCGGACCGCAGCGTGAACCGCAAGGCATGGGCATGAACTTTTGAGCCCTTCACGGCTCATACAGCTATTGCCACAATCATCTTCGAGCCTCGGCTTTGAGCCGCAGGCCAGGCCTGACATGGCAAGAGATTGACAGGCCCGGTGCAGCTGGACATGCTTTCTGCCGGGCAGTGGCTGGCGCAGCTCCTGCCCGAGGCCAAGGCCAGCAGAGCTGGCCAAAAGGCTCCAGAGGCCGGGGGCAAAATACATGAACTTCACGAAGTACCTTTTAGTGCGCAGCTATGAGGCTATGAGCAGCCTGTGTGAGCCTCCGCAAAGGCCCGCAGCAGCGTGTAACGGTGCTTTGGACATCCAGGTCTTGCTGGACTTAGCCGGTGCCTGGTCACCCTTGGCTCGAGCACTTCCTCGACGCAGCCGCAGTTGTGCCGCACGCTTAGGTGGCACCAGTACGTGCATGGCGCATGTTCTGCAATCATGGAAGACGCACTGTGTAGACTGACGCTGTAGACTTATTCTGATCTTATTCTGCGTCGAAGATGATCGAAGATGACTATGGAGGCACAGTCTCTGCACTTCGGCGTGTTCTTTGGAGATGACAGGCCTCCAACGCAATCAACAAATCACCGGAGCTGAGTTCTTTGGACAAGCGATTTTCCAGTCAAGAGAGGTGCTTTGACCTTGAGTTGCTGCTTTCAAAGGATAGATTCGAGGAGTGGAGTAGACTCTGAGTCGGAGAACCCAAACCCAGCAAGGAGACCACAGGGTGTTGGCCAGGTAACCTGCAGTTGCTGGACATCCGAATGATGCGGCTTCCCTTTCTCTTTCCCTTCTGCCCGTCCTCCATTTCCACTTTCCTCGAAACTGGAAGGCAAACCCCGGTGAGGCTTTCGTCCGCCCTGCTGTGTCCGGAGGCCGGGGGTTGAGGGCTCCCGTCTCAACCAAGTGTCGCCTCAGGCTCTTGCGCCATCCTTCGGAAAAGCACCATGTGGAAAGTAGGTCTTCACCTGTAGGCGTTTGACAGCACCGCAGTCCTTGGAGTCCCTTGGAGCCATGTCAGTGAAAGTCACTGTGGTGGACCTTGTTGGACGCTCATTGCAGCTGGAGCTTCCTGGCGCGGAAACTGTGAAAGTCGTCAGGGATGCGGTGGCTGCGTCATGGGGGCTGGATCTGGGCACCTTTCACCTGCTTGTGCAAACCGAGCGCATGGATGAAACGAGGACGCTTGAGAGTTTCCTCATGGAGGCGGCAGAGACAATTGAAGTACAACTTCTGAAGTTCGACCCTCTCCTGGACCTCGGGCAGTTTGTCGGCAGGCATCGGGGTGTCAAGAAGTCTGGTGAGCACAGGGACACAATCAAAAAGACTATGACTTTCCCGGATTCCAACAACGTCTTCATACGGCACGGTATTCGGGAGCCATGTTTCGTTGAGTTTGAAGTGGTCTGCTGCAGGGATGAGATGTCCTTCGGCGTGACATATGATCGGAAGAAGATGGAGCGAGTCTCAGACCACGGTAACCTTTCCGTAAACACCACATGGATTTTCTCCAGGAAGAGGGCAATGCCTGTCTTCTACTTCGGTGGTGAAAGCTTGAGTCCTCCGGATGTTCCTGGTGTACAAGAAGGTGACACCATTGGGGTCTACGCAGATCCTGAGCTCCGCCTGGTCGAGTTCTACTGCAACGGGCTCCTGGTCGGATCCTCTGACTCCCTGAAGGTTCCTTTGCCACAGGCTGATGAGAGGCCTCTGTGGATGTATGCCATGGTGGACGAAGTAAATGATGAGATCAGAATCAAGCGCTTCGGCCCTGGCAGGCCCTAGCACTGTGGCTGAAGTTGGCCAAGCCGCTCATTAGCTTTGTACAGTGTGCAGGAGAGCTGGCGCGAGACAAGGATGAGTTTTTGTTTTTCAGCTTGGTGAGCATCTTGCATCGTTTGAAGGAACTTTCGGAGACTGATGGCACTGGTCGATCCCAAGCTGTTCTCTGGCGCAAGGTGCTGTCGTGGGCACCCTCTGGCACTGAGGCACTTGGGCCAATCGAAGCAACATCAAAGTTGCAGTTTAGCGATGTATGAGTGTCGTAATGGCACTACGGTGTTTATTGTGTCTCCATGCTGTAAGGATTCGACTGGCTGGATAGTTTGAAGTGTTGCTAGTCAGCTATGCTGATTTGGGCCAGGCCTTTTCTGCAGGAGGCTCTTCTGCATGAAGATCGAGTCAGCCTGGCCGTGTTGCCTTTTGGATCCAGAGCATAGCTGATTCATCAGCCAAGGAAGCGTTGACAGACGGGCTTTTCAGGCAGACCTATGCCAGATGCTGAGCAGATTGGCAAACAGAGGCTCGTAGGACCTCGTAGGACCTCGTAGGATAGTGGGATCTTCTGTCAAAAGCTTCTGGGACAAGGCTTTCGAGCACAAGGACCTAATCGAAGGGATGTTCCGAGATGAAATGGGAACTGTGCTTGAGCCAGCGCGTCTTGCCAAGGCCGTGCACATGAGCGATTCATGGCCGGCGTCTTCGCACCATGGGCAAAGGCGCAGGACGCGCCACGACGTGCCGTTCGTGTACCACGCATGTGCCATGCTGTGCCGCTCAGGATCAGGCAATGCAGTGTGGATTCCGCGAGTTCCTGTCAGGAGGAGAGTGGGCACCAGCGTGTCGCGTGGCTGCTGTGCAATGAGGGAGAGGCTGAGAAGCGATGCGCGCCGTGCGTGTCGAAAGAAGTTCCACACCACCTTGTGTCGGAGGCTTTCACCCTCAGCCAAGCCATGCTGGACTTTGGCAAGGCGTGGGAGGGTACCCAGACGCCGCACGATTTCAGCGCCAGGAAAAACAACTAAGGAATTCATGAGGTTAATGAGGGTTGTAAAGGGGTCGAAGAGTCGCAGAAGGTAACACTTTGGTGGTGAACAGCTAGCGGCTGTGAGCCACATGTGAAGTTCAGGGCCTCTTCTGCTCAGCTTCATTTTCCCTTACCTTTTGGTTTTCCCAGTCCCAGGGACCCTCTCTCTCCAGTCACTGCAGGCAGCTGGCCTCGACGAGAGGCAAGTCGGAGCCCTGCCCCTTTTTCACTTCCCGAGCTTCGCAGATTCGCGTTCAGATTCAGACGGCCAGATGGCGCTCCACCGTCCTCGTTGTGGATCGAGCCAAGTCCTGCGAGTCGGAGCCAGCGGTGGAGGCCGAGATCTGAGAAGCAACTTGCGAGGGGTTTGGGCGAGGGACGCAGGAGGACGTACGAGGATGATGCATGCAGCAAGATCAGACTCCCTGGAGAACGTAGTCCACAAGATATCGCTGCCTGAAGCTTTTCATGGCTACACCTGATCCTCCGACTTGAGTTGCTGTGTCAGCATCTGCGCCAGAGAAAATATGAGAGACGATGCAACCGCATGAGCAAGCGATGGGGCTCGAGAGACCAAAAAGTTCACAGTCGAAGACTGTGACCAAGCCGAAGAGGGCCGAAGAGGGCCGAAGAGGGCCAGGGGAGCTCACGGGTGCCGAGTGCCAAGGGCTGAGGTCCCGGCGAAGGGGTGCCAAACGAACCATCCAAGTTCAGAAGAAGGTGGCTTTCTTAACTAAGCCAGCGAAGCACAAAGTCGAAGTGGCAGTTAACAGCAAGCTCCAGGTAGAGAACGGAAACATGTTGAGCAAGACGTAAACAAGTTGGTGCAGGAACACCTGCACTTGCAAGAGCAGAATCGGACATGGCCCCAGCACTAGCGGAAACACTTGCTGGAAGCCCAAAGCCAAAGCCATGCCAATGTGAAACGCCACGAGCAACAGACGTACCTTGTCACCAGAGCGACCCCACAAGACAGGCTTCAGCACACCAAACAGACCAAGCAGACCAAACAGACCAAACAGTCGACACCCAAGGTTAATGGTATGCTACATCGTATTAATAAATAAAATATGTAATATGGCATACAGTACAATACCATGTACTGTGTTTTTATGTGCTGTCACATAATACACTCGAAGATATATTATAGTATATCTTCGGGAAGTAAGTCGTCGCACCAAGTCGCACCTTCTTCATTTAGGGTTCAGGGTTCAGGGTTTCGGGTCTAGGGAGGGTTCTTTTTTGGGCTGTAGGTGCCACTTGCTGTAGGCTCCACAAGGAACAGCGCGCTCTTTCACAGAAAGTTTCTGGTACACGGCATCAACCTAGGGTCAGCACGTTGGTAGAAAGTTGCCAGCAGAATGTTTTGAGACTTTGGTACTTTAGAGGTCGGTGGGGTTTTTCTGATGCTGCAGGCAGGTTCTAAACTCCTGGGCTTGAGGTAGTTCACAAGGTGACCAAATATGGTCAGTGCTGCGTGTTGTGCGTGCAGGCGCTGGCACTTGCTGACGGCGCTCGGCGGATGGTCTTTGACATGGTCTAGTCGCCGCAGAAAAGCAGTCGCCTCCATGCCTTCAGTGCCTTCAGTGCCTTCGCCTCCGCGTCTTGCTGAGATTTTGCTCAAAGGCTTCCCTTCGGTCTAACGGTCTATGTAACAAGGGGGCATGTGTCTCCTATGCGCCAGGCTATTGAAGTTCTACAACTCCAAGGACATTCGGCTGGAAGAAGTAGCTTATGTTGCCATTGACGAGGCCAGAAAGCGACTTGACACGAGCAGCGGTCGTGTGAGCAGGTAGGTGATGTGTTGAGGACAGGTCCTGATTGATTTCGATTCCAGGAAGCCTTCTTGTGATCTCTCGCAGCATCTCAAGCAGGCTGACTTCCTCCTGACCCAGGGCTTCGACGATTTGTACACAGTTTTGGAGAAGGTGGACCAGGACTCCAGGCACAGCAGGAGTCGGGGTAGCTAAAGTGCCGAAAGTGCCGAGACCACAAGCTGCACTCTGCACCACAGTCCCCCTGCAGGCACAAACGCCACATGAGGTACTCCTTGGTAACCGCCACTTGCCTCGAAATCACGGTATGTCTGTTTTTGTTCATGTCCAGCCCGATTCTGCTGGGAGTTGCTGCCTCAGCTGCGTCCGGACAAAGTGACGAGGCCCAAAAATTAGGAGCCCGCCTCCTTAGTTTGGCGCACCCAACATGGAAGGGACAATCGACGCCACGATATTAGTGGCGACTGGTGCACTACTTCTGGCCGGGCACTTCCATTTGTGTGGTGGTGATATTGGTTCCATGAAGGAAAAGATCCTTCAGCAGTGTCAACTTGCTGAAGCAGCGACGAGCCAGATTGAGGAACCTCGTGTAGATGCGGCTTTCCTCAAGATTCGACAAAAAGTTATGCGGATTGCGACGGAATGCACTCTGCATGCTCTTTGCGTAGCGTTGCTCTGGCTGCTGTACGAGTTTGGCCTGCGACCTGGGCGAGCTCAAGCCATCAGACTTGCAAGCGCACTTTGTCCATACACGCTGAACATCCTGATTGCCAGGCGGAAAATCGAGTTGACGAAAGTTAACCTCCGGATATCCCACATGCTGTACATGCTGACGTTCTCGGTCTTCGTGTTCGCGGGCACCGGGTCCGACTCAAGTTCCAATGCAACCGACCCGGTGGTCCTACAGGCGTTCCAGCTCAGCAGTCGCTTCTCAATGACAGTGTTTTTCTTAGATACCGCCTTGGTTCTACCATGCCAAGCATTTCTGTCTCTGGCAGAATGGTGGTCTTTCCGGCCAGCTCATGGGGACGGTGGGATTTCTTTCGTTTTCGCCCAAGTGTTGGTTCTTGTCATAATTACCTTGCTGTCCCTCACTTTGGAGCTGGGTGTTCGATCCCATCTTCGTGCTTCGCTGGCGTCGGCCGATGCTGGGTCCATGGTGCAAGGCTTTCGCCGCGTTCTGCGTGGGATCTGCGATGGCGAAGTGTCACTCGTCATTAATATAGGCACAATATGGGCTTTCTCATGCCGGCAAAGTAGTGAGCAAGTTCCTTATGGCGCTGTTGCATCCCCGCGCGTAACAAAAACACCGACGAGTCCTGTGAAGCGCCCCAGCCCGAAGCGGGAAGAGACAGAAACCACACCATCTGAGCTTCAAGCTTGATATGGCGGATAGCACTACGTCACTAACACATGCGGTAAATGGCAGTAGCATGCGCCGGCGACACGTGGCAAGAGTGTGGCAGCGCTTCTGCCATGTTCTCCCGCCTGAGGTTGCTCGATAGCAATCTGCGCATCTGCGAGGAGGGCCGCGGTCTCCAGCACCTCCTCATGACGGAAACAAGCCTCGAAGATCGGAGCTTTGTAGACCTGGTTCGTGAGGATGCAAGGAACGACTTCAGCCGCTTCTTGAAAGGAAGCGATTCTGGAGAGGGTTCTGGATCCGCGCCGAGCTGCCTCCGGACCTCACTCCGTGGGTCTTGTGACATCCGGGTGGCTGTGGACCTCTTCCACGTGCCCCTGGAAATCTTTGGTGAACAGCACCACTTGATCGCCTTCCGAGAAGATGGCGAGGTCAGGGAGGTCCGAGAAGCTCCTGAGGTGGATGTTGATGTGGCTACCATCATGGAGAGGATCCTTCAGTCGGACCTGTCCACCCCCACGCCCTCCGACTCCCAGCAGCCTGGATCCAACTGTTCAGACAGCTCTGCTGGCGGGGGCTGCAACTTGTTGGCCTTCCCCTCGCTTTCAGAAATCACCCTCCTCGTAGATGCATCCTCTCAAAGGTGTGATGTGGCCCAGGCACATCTGAAATACAGCCTGGACAGGCAGACACATCAGACACCCCCTTCCCTGCGTAAGCTGGTGCTTCCCGTTGACTGGGAGTCGGTTCGCTCCAAGATTGCCCGCTACGTTCAGAAGTTTCAGGAGGGGCGAAGGGAGCCCAAGAAGCTGGACGGGATGCGGCTGAGAACACCCGAGGATCCGCGCAAGCTTCTGCTTGCCAAGACTGCCAAGCTGCTGCGTGCAGATGGTGCGGGTGAAGGTGCAGATGCAGCCAAGCAAGCACTTCTCTGGGTGTGCCTTTCAAACTTCACGGAGGATAGCTCCAGATGCAGGCCCCCACCAGATCTGGCCGGAATCAGGGAAGTTCGAACAACTCCACGGCCGAGAAGCAGTACATCCAGGTAGCCTTTCATGCCTGGTTCGGGAAGCATTGGTGTCACCTTCGCAAAATCTGTGTCCATTCGGCTCCGGTCTGGTTGTCCCTTGCAAGTGCGTCATCAGGGGTGCACAACTCTTCGTTGCAGTTCCGAAGCAAGGCCAGCATCACGAAGCCCTTGTGCGAACCTGAGAGAACTCGCTTGGGGACGGCACAATGTCGCTGGCATACTTGTTTCCTTGCCAGGTGGAAGATTTTTCAGGAAGACCCTCGCTTCAGGTGCGATTCCGATGATTCCGTCTCTGGACTGCGTGGCGCCCTGAAACGTCCGCAGGACGCTGAAGGTGCTCGAGTCCAGATCACTTCATCGGCCGCAGGTAGGACGTCGGTGGCTCTTGAAGCGGGTGGGGATGCCATCCGTATGATTCCGTATGCGTACTATGCCAAGGGGGCTGACCTATCAAGATCGGTGTGATGTCTTGAATGACTTGAACTGTCGGAGTTGACCCTGGCCCTCAGGCAAACTGCAACCACACCATGGTCTTGACAAAGGGTCGATGCAAAGTGAGGATGCTGATGGGAGCTTAGCCATCTTAGCTGTCTTCCTCTTGAAATGGTGATTCCCGATGTACTGCGGGGCATTCCACGACCTCCCAGAGTCGCTTCGGGAATCCTGAGGGTGCAGCTGATTCAGAGGGATCTGGGACAGGAGAGCCTGCGTCTGCTCCCCAACTGCCTTCCAGTAGCGATTTGTGGCTTTTGGAGAGCCCCCTTTGTCTCGCGCCAAGGCCGCGGGCTCAAGCCGAGGCAGACGCTGGTCTTCTGCAACACACTCTCTTCGTGTAAGCTGTGGTCTCAGATGGCCTAGGCCTCCCAGACCCTCAGTCGATCCTCGAGAAGTCTTACGTCTTGAGTTGCGAGGTCGGTTGGCTACCAGCTGAAGGAGAAGTACAGCCATGTACAAGAGCCAGCAACCTCAGTCGAGTGGTGCCTCTTGCGTTTGGCAAGCCAGAAGCCCTTGAAAGCGCCGAAAGCCCGAGAGTTCCGAACGCCAAAACAACCAAGGGTTTAGGGTTTAGGGTTTAGGGTTAAGGGTTTAGGGTTTAGGGCTTAGGGCTTAGGGTTTAAGGCTTAGGGAAAAGCAGCAACAAACCAGCAAGGAGGATTGGCATGCTCCACAAGGAGCTTCAGACAGCTCCCTGGCCAAAGAATAGTTGAAACGTTGCAAGTTGTAAGCCCTCAACCCTAAACCCTAAACCCTAAAGCCTAAACCCTAAACCCTAAAGCCTAAACCCAAAACCCAAAACCCAAAACCTAAACCCTAAACCCTACAAGACCCATAGCATCTGAAGGGATGTGCCCTGGAATGCAGAACTTGGGGTCCGCAGTGAATGGGACTTTCTGATACATTTGCTCATGTTTCCGAGCTGATTTCTCTGCCTGGCTTCTTTTGCCTTTCTTGATTTACATGAGTAAGAGATGTTCTAGTAAGAGCCCTCACATTCACGACATGAGGGTTGGGGAGTGCGGAGATCGGGCACCCGAGGCTGATCGCAAAGAGGTTCTGAGGAAGCCGCGGGCTCAGAGCCTCCGAACCTGTGCCCTAGGTAAGTGAGGCCCGGCAGATGCCATTGGGCTTCTTATTCCCGGATGCGCAGCGGAGGGTTCACACAGTGACGAGGATGAGGGGCGTCGGTGGCGCCATCCTCGTGGCTGTCATATCACTTTTTGCGCTTGTTTTGTTGTTCGTGGACCAAAGTGCAGACAGTCTCGGGGATGCAGCACGTGGGTGGCGCCATCGTCGACATTATCGTCGCTTTTTAATTGGGCTTGCCGTTCATGGCTGACAAGTGCAGATAGTCACGCCATCTTCGTGATTGTCGTCACATTTTCGGCTTTGCCCGTTCCGAAGTCGTGTCGGGCGCCGTTCTGGTTACGTTCCTCGCGCCGTGTCACGAATCTGGACTGGGGTTCGTGGTTCCAGTCAAGTTAAACCTGTGAAAGTCTCCTTTTGCAAGCCTTGTTGCGGCAAGACTGCTGTTACCATGCTAAAGCTCAGGTTTGTTGAAGGCCAGTACACCGTGCTGGTCTCCACGGACTTGGCCCAGCGTGGCCTGGACCTCCCAAACTGCGAGCTGGAGCCTCGAGCCGTTCAGGATCCAGGGCAACCTCAGAGACGTCGGCGAATCGCATCGAACCTTTAACCTTATTAACACGGCTCAAGTCCACAACCATTACGGTTTCCAACAAGGGGTACTGGCTGTAAGCTTCGAAGAGCTGAGCTCGGTGAAGTGCATGGCAAAGAGCCCAAGGCACGTGATCAACTTCGACTTCCCGCTCAACTCCATCGAGCCTGCCTAAGGGGGGGGGGCATTCCTGGGCAATTAAGGAGGGCTTGGGAGGGCGAAAAGGACTGCAAGGACGTCTCGCACACGATGTTTTTTGGTCTGTGACCCTATTCCTTGTCCGCAGCATCCGAGCCCAAGTGGCATGTCACCAGAACAACGAAAGGTAAGCCGTTCTCATCTTGGTATCAGTTGCTAGCTGGGAGTACACAGAAAACCGACGGCTTTAGCTACATTGGCTTGTATAGAGAGATTGGGCATGGGCGGCGTGCCTACGCCCTGATGGCTGGTTCCAGCAATGATCCCAAACCAGCAGCTCACCGATTCTGCCGATGCATGCCAAGCTTGGATGTCCATCCCAAAGCTCGAGGAAAAGCCTGAGGAAAGCTTGCCTTTGCCTCTGTCAAGTCAGCCGTGCGGAGAGTCCACACATGAGCCCATCAAACTGACCCTCATTTGCAACAAGAAGCTTGTGGTCACAACTTGTCACAGCCACTGAAATCCGTGAATCCATGAAAAGTATAAAGATGGAACCGGGCGCATCTCACGGGATGCTCCAAGGATGGACCGATGGCCGGAGCAGGCTGTCCAAAGGCTTCGAGGTAGCATCTACCTTCATGGTGGTGGCAGGCTTTGTCCAGACGATGATCGGTTTGTGGCTCAGCAGCAAAGGGATTCATAGCAGTGCTGGTGGATGAAGCTTGGGAGCTTCTGATGTTTTACGATGGTTTATGCGTGGATTTCTGAGCTCAGCATTTCGCCATCAGCGCAATGTCTTACCTTATAAGGTCCAGTTCCGAAAGGCCTTTGTCGAATCGGGACGGACGGCCTTGCCATTCTTCTTCGGGCGGGTGAACATTGTCCTGATCACCAGCACCATGGCTATACAGCTCTGTAGGATGTTGTGTTGCAGCGGGGTGTCAGCAATCGGGCCCCTGAGATCTTTCGAGGTTGCGGCTGTCGGCCAGATCCAGTTTGGCAAGAGCGGCTAGCTTGCAGTGGCAGCGGCGCATTAAGAGCTCAAGCACAAGCATGCATGCGGACACGGTACGGGCATTGCGACCCACCTGTTCATGCCAAGGCTTGGGAATGTCACCGAAGTCGCACCACTGAGCCGTGCCGACGCTGCATCCGGGACTGCAAGGGGTCAGGAGGGAAGCTGAGGTTCAGGACGTGTGGAGACTGTGCGATGCAAAGCTGGTCGGCACCATTTGCCATTGGGCCCATTGAAAGTACCAAGGACGCGCAGCGGCTGTCAGAGGTGATCGATGCGGCACAGTGCGTTTGGGTGACAGGCGGCCGTTGTGTGATGCTCCATGGCGCATCATAACTGCGCACCATAGCAGCTGGTAAGCCGTACTAATGTCGAGAGCATGTTTCCACGTCTTAGATGACAGGTGGCGACCAGGGGCGGTTGCGGGGAGTGCTCCCCGGGACAGGGCTCGACCGAGCTCTGCGGCGGCTGCTCAACAGGGGCGGCGCGGTGGGCGGCTCCTCTGCAGGGGCGTCGCTGCTCGGTGCCACTGCCAAAAGTGTTTGGGAGCCGCCAGAGTTGGGGGTGCAAGCGGCGTTGTTCAGTGTAGAGAGCAGCCTGACACAACATGCGTTGCTTCATTTTTTAGTATTATTCCAAGCGTTTACAAGGTGCCACGCGGGTGAATAATTCCAAAATGAAGAGCGAACAGAGAGTGCCTTCTTCGTTCAGGCCCTACATCTTTTTGATTCATGCGCGAGCTTATGATAAGAATAATAACAAGACAGTGAGTGAACGAGTGAGCCAAAGACCCAGATGAACACGATCCCAAAGGGGTGCATGTGATGTCTGTGGGCTGCAAGTCCGAATCTTTCCGCCGGCTGCTTTTTGTCCTTGTCAGCTGAATCACGAAATTTCGTAACACACGTTTCGCTGCATATGTGAAACAATGAAGGGGTAGACCAGTTCCACTTTCCATTTCAGAATTCACATCAAAGGTGCTTTCTGCCCGAATTTCGACGAGATCATGGAGGGCCTGAATCTAGTCCCAGGTCGGTGCCCATGCCAGTCGGCTTGCAGGTGTCCGAACGTTGCGAGTGACCTCTCTGCAAAACAAGGCGCTGCAGTGTTGACCCACCTGCTGAAGCGCGGACGAGAGGACCGACTCGCTGTGGCCTGCTTGCACAGGGTGTTTTGCACACCCCTTTTAATGTTGTTAACGTCGTGGAAAAGCACGTATACGCGTGTTGGCCGTGTTGGCTAAGTCGTTGGGGGGCTCAAGCCGTTGAGGCCATGGCCAGCTGCTTCCCGGGCCTCTGGGGCTTTGGTCTCGATGAGGCTGCCGGGCTCGTGTGGACTGCGCTGGGGCTCCACGTCAGCTGCTGGCACCCACCTTACCAAATTTACCGCTTCGCGAAACTGTTCCAGGGCGCAGGAAACTGGACGCCATCAGGTCACCGGTGCTGGTGCTGCGCCATGTCGAAGGCCGGGTGCTTTTGTTCAGCCTGAGCACCCATCATTCTTCCAGCTGCCCTTCTCCATCTTCTGACCCGTTCTTTCTTGTTTTCACACTTCACGCATGTCACCAGCCCCTCTTACGAGATGTCGTCTTTTGGACAGTTGGACCCTGTGACCCTTGGACTGTTGGACCGACATCAGGCATCTGTCGGGGAGCGCTGCTGCAGCCAGGCTTCCGTGGAACTCTCGAGGTTTCGACATGTTCTTCCCGGAAGATCCCGAAGAAGCGTTCCAAAAGCTTCGATCTGGCTTCTCTGTGTTGTCGTCGCAGGACGTCGAGCAGCGGATGCAAGAGGTGGCTGCTATATCTTGGCACCCTGAGAACATTGAGCTACCAGGACAGGTGCCTTGCTAGTTCCTTCTCTTTTGTCCTCTAGCCTCCTTCGCTCGCTCTCCTCTCTGTATCCTGCTCGTAGCCTCGGAGGAGAAGAGCTTTGGAACCTGAACTGGGCCTCAAAGCAGGCCCTGGTGGATGGCCCGATTTTCGATGCCTGGGGCTTCCGAGGGCGTGTTGGAGTGTGTGTTTTGGTAGTTGTTGCCCTTGCAGTCTGCTCTGTTGGTGCTGTGCATCTTCGGCTTGAGGTGCAGACGAATGCTGCCTTCAAGGATGCCGAAGGCTGCGCTCGCTTTCACGTGGGCATGTCGCAGAATATTTGCAGCGTTGGATGGCCAGAAACGAGATTTGAACGCCGCGGCCTGCGCCTGATCAGGCCACCACTTTCTGTCCTGGAAGGTTCCAGAGGACGCTGGTGTGAGATCTTGCTTGTGAGATCTTGCCGGCCTACAAGACACATTGTTCATCAGGACGACCTGCAGACGTTGTTATTTGGTACTCGTCTCAGTTGTCACTGCCGCAAGATGTTGCCGGTATTACAATGCGCCAAAAGCCTCCATACAGCATCAGGCAGCCATTGCTACCTGGATATCTGGTTTGCACCTTGGCTGCTGAGAGAGTTGGTGATGTCACAACAGGGCGACTGAACAGACTGTGGATCTTTATGGTGGCCTAACTGGCCTAACTGCATTCCTGCACTATATGCCTCGATTGAGAGCTGAGGAGCTGGAGGACCTTCCGCTGCGCTGCCAGCTGGCTCTTGTGCACCGCACCTCCCCCGCACGAGGAAGCATCGAAGGCCTTGTCGGTCAAGTTTGAGTTGAATGTTGAGGCTGCATGTCATAGACTCATAGAATACTCATAGACTCCCCGATTCACAGAAGCGAAACCTGTGATCGCTCCATCACATCTCCATCACATCTCCATCACATCTCCATCACATCTGGAGGCTACAGCCCTGTCGATGTCAAGTTGAATGACTCCGTGGTGACGTGAGCCTTGGAGCGCAGTCAGTCAGAAGATTTGGCAGAGCGGACACAACGTAGACATGCGGATCATGCAAGGTGATTATGACCCGGCCAAGCGGAAGTCCCTGCCGCACAAGTTCGTCGCCAGTGCCTTCACGCTCCCGGCTGGCACCCTTCGACTCGGTCAGAACTGGCTTCGTGTCACCACCAGACAGGTTAGCCTCCAAGTTTGGGGGTCGACCCGAGAGAGGGGCCATGTAGGCCACGCACCACCCACGGCCGAGGTCAGATCGCCCTACTGTCTTCTGTCAGCCTCACAACTGCAGACCAGTGTCTAGATTCACAGAAAGCTTTGGGGCAGAGCGGGATCAAAGGCGACACTGATGGATCTCACGGACGTCCTCCCGGACCAGTCCCTGAGCCCTGTCAGGACCGGGCCCTGTTTTCGACTTTCCCTTCATGTTGGCCTCTCCGACGGTCCGAGGACTTCGCAGGCTTCAAAGTGGACTCCTCGATGGGGCTATCTCCATCGAGGCGGGCGGGGCTTGAATTGCAGAACGTGCCCAATGTGCTGCTACATTGCTACGTGTGCCTCTACGTGTGCCATGTGCCGCTACATGTACCGCTATGGCGGAGGTCCAAAGGCCGATGGTCCCGTTGGCCTTCGGGCCGAGGACCGAAGATGAGTGACTTGTATGAGTTGACTCTTCTAGTAAAAGTTTGAAGTGGGTAGCTTCTCACCTTGATGGTGCCACAGGAGGACTCAGTCTTTCTCAACATCTACAACTTGGGCAAGAGCAACGCCGAGCTTTGTCTAAGAGATTTCTCATGCGCCTTGCGCTAGCCGGCCGGATCCATGTGCAGCTGCAGTGCGAGAGAATCCCTAGGTGCAGAGTCTCAACGGCCATGTGCTCAGGTAAGGTCAGTGACGCAATGGGCTACTGGCATCGGTAAGCCTTAGGCTGGCCCCACTGTAGGTCTATTCAAGACAGTGGGCATCGGTGCCTTTCACTGTGCAGTGCAGGCCAGGGTTGATCGGACTGACCGGCATATGCATCTTTGAATATCTTGGAGGTCTTTGGCATGGAATGGAGCTATGGCGGCTGGCCAGAGGCCCGCTGCGCATGTTCTTTGCGCACGTGCGCCCTCGCCACTTTCTAGATTCTCATAGGACAGCCCGTGCGACCGACATGACACGGGAGCTGCTCGGCTGCTTTCCAGACTCTTCGGGGCTGTAATGTGTCTTGAATGGCATTCGGACAACTTGCAAGGTTTGGAGCTGTTTGCCGCGAATGTCCGCGTCACACACCTTCCACGAGGCAAGCAACTGTGGCGGCTTCTGCACGTGTGAGACATTTAGACATGCTCAATTCAGCTGAATACAGAGCGCACCGAAAACGAGGTCGTGGTTATGGGAAGCATAACCATTTCGGAAGACGACTTTGTCGAGTTGATCTGCAACCTCACGCAGGCCCTCCTTCCGTTTGGGGCTCTTCCTGGGCTCTTCCTGGGCGACGAAGTGTTTCCACATCTGCAGGAGTGGCCGATGTCGGAGTACGACATCCTTAACAAGAACTGCTGCCACTTTTGTGAGGCACGGCCTGCCTTAATCTGCCTTATGCAAACCAAGATCGAGGTACCGGTGTGAAGACTTAAAGCCCACAAGGAACTTTGCGAACTGCTGGGCGTCGGGCCTCTGCCAAGCCGAGTACGGGGCTTTGAACAAAGATTCTCCAAATCACGCTCGAAGCATTCTCTGGCCACTTGCGGGTCTGAATGGTCTGAATGCTCCCATGTGTGCAAGGTGAAGAAGCTTGCTGGGCTCGGGTCCACGCTCAACGAGAGCGCTGCCATGATGGCCGAGGTCAGCTTACTGGAGTAAAGGAAGCCAAGTGTGCAGCGAGTCCAGTGCCCAGGCTGCTTCCAAAGTCCGAGCCGACATTGTAGGCAGGGCAGTTCAGGGCAGTTCAGGGCAGATCAGGGTCTCATGAGCAGTCCCTGTTGGTTACTGCCGGCTCCGATTCAGGTGTCGGCGTCGTAGCTGCGAGCCTTGTTGTCACTTGGCGTTGTTGGAGATGCTCCGTAACCATTGCTTTTTTTGATGCGCTTGTCCAGGTACAGGCTGCTGTCGGCACAGTCGCTGCGCTAGCCATTGCCGATGCAAACAGTGATAGCCAGCGCTCAACTGCAGAGCAAGAAAGAATTCTCATGAATGGTTTGAACGTCTGCATCGCCTCGAAACACCTTGAACAGCTTCGCCCGTCCCTCTGATGGTATCGGCCTCAGGACTACCTTCATCGAGCCGGCCGCACGGCGCGATATGGAGAGCCGGGCAAGGCACGAGAGGAGTACGCGGTTCACGGTAAATGGGGACAGCTTGTAAGTTGCGAGGTGACCTCCTTGATCAAGAAGGGCGACAAGTATCTGGCCAAGGTTGACTCGGGAGTTTTTTTGCTTTTATTATATTATTTCCTAAAAACATCTCGGATGTTGGGTTCTCGTTTAGGTTCAAAACGCGAGAGCGCGATACCGGGGAATGGCGGCGCAGGGTGAAAGCGAAACGGGGATGAAAACGAAACGGGAATGAACGAAGCGGGGAGATCAGAGCCGCGGGGTGAAAGCGAAACGGGGATGAAAACGAAGCGGGAATGAGAACGAAACGGGTAGATCAGAGCCGCGGGGTGAAAACGAAAGGGGGATGAAAACGAAAGGGGGATGAAAACGAAGGGGGGATGGGCGCGAGAGCGGACTGCGGCGCGTACGACGGCACGTACGACGGCGCGTACGGCGGCGCGGGAAGCGGAGGGATTTTCGTTGAATTGTAGTACAAATTTAGTACTGGGAGGACAGAGCCGGAGGGGCGCGAGAGCGGACTGCGGCACGTACGACGGCGCGTATACGGCATACGCGCGGCGGAGGGATTTTCGTACGACGGCGCGTACGATGGCGCGTACGGCGGAGGGATTTTCGTTGAATCTGAATCGTATTACAAGTGTAGTACTGGAGGACAGAGCCGGAGGGGCGCGAGAGCGGACTGCGGCACGTACGACGGCGCGTACGACGGCGCCTACGGCGGAGGGATTTTCGTGAATTGTAGTACAAATGTAGTACTGGAGGACAGAGCCGGAGGGGCGCGAGAGCGGACTGCGGCACGTACGACGGCGCGTACGACGGCGCGTACGGCGGAGGGATTTTCGTTGAATTGTAGTATAGTTCTGGAGGACAGAGCCGGAGGGCCGCGAGAGCGGACTGCGGCATGTACGACGGCGCGTACGGCGGCGCGTACGGCGGAGGGATTTTCGTTGAATTGTAGTATACATGTAGTACTGGAGGACAGAGCCGGAGGGGCGCGAGAGCGGACTGCGGCACGTACGACGGCGCGTACGACGGCGCATACGGCGGAGGGATTTTCGTTGAATTGTAGTACAAATGTAGTACTGCAGGACAGAGCCGGAGGGGCGCGAGAGCGGACTGCGGCACGTACGACGGCGCGTGCGACGGCGCGTACGGCGGAGGGATTTTCGTTGAATTGTAGTACAAATGTAGTACTGCAGGACAGAGCCAAAGGGGCGCGAGAGACGACGGCGCGTACGAAGGCGCGTACGGCGGAGGGATGTTCGTTGAATTGTAGTACAAGTGTAGTTCTGGAGGACAGAGCCGGAGGGGCGCGAGAGCGGACTGCGGCATGTACGACGGCGCGTACGGCGGCGCGTACGGCGGAGGGATTTTCGTTGAATTGTAGCATAAATGTAGTACTGGAGGGCAGAGCCGGAGGGGGCGAGAGCGAACTGCGGCACGTACGATGGCGCGTAGGCGCGTGCGGCGGAGGGATTTTCGGTGAATTGTAGTACAAATTTATGTAGTGCTGGAGGACAGAGCCGGAGGGGCGCGAGAGCGGACTGCGGCACGTACGATGGCGCGTACGACGGCGCGTGCGGCGGAGGGATTTTCGGTGAATGTCGTACAAATGCTTGAAGGATCGTGTCGCTTAGTAAGTACTTGGCACAGTTTGTTACAATAGTATGTTGGCCAACTGAAGTTATAAATTCTTCAAGTGCACTTACATATCCTGCAACTATGCTAAATGGTTTGTAACACTTTTTAAGTCAGGTCAATCACTTGGCTTGCTAAAGATTGTGAAGAAGCGATGACTGTTGCTTGTAGCTTTTGGGGTTCGAATGTTCGAGCGGCTCGACCCGTGGAGCCTCTTGTTAGGTTGGGTAGGTTGTGCGCCGCGCAATTTCTCCGACCTTGTGCTGCTTTCCCTGGCTAGCTGGCTGACTGGTTTCATCTGCGGGGCTTTGGTTGTCATCTTCTGCACTAGCAGGGTTGCCCGGAGCATTCTGTGGAATTGCCTCGGCGTCATCGCGCACGAGCTCCGAGAAGCCCAACCACAAGACCGCCTCGCAAGGTACCGAGGAGGTGTGCACGAGCACCGAGCCTGACTCTCAGGACTTGGTTGCTCAGATCACTGAACTGGTGGGGCAGCTGAACATCACCGTGAACGTTGCTGTCAATCGAACCACCTTATCCTTCAACCTCGTGCCCAGCCGCCCAGCCTCGTCAACAACCAGGACTTTCTCGCGTACTACCTCCTTGTGGGTCTCGCTTCTTCAACCTGCAGAGCCCCCTTCCGAGGCGCTGTGCCTTGACTCGGCAGTTGAGAGCGTGTTTGGGAGGCCGGATCCGCCAAGCTGCGCCGACAGGATCGTGCGTCGAGTGCTCTCCTTCGGCAACCAGCTCTTCCTGTGCGGCGAGTGGTCCACCTGGTGTCCCAAGTGGCCGAGCCTTTCTATGCCTTTTCATCCGACTCCTACCTCCGCATCGTCAAGCCCAGCGAAGCCTGGGGCCCGACATCAGTCTCTCGCGCATTCAGCAGCCTTCGTGACTTGTCCCGCCAGAGGCCCCAATGACTTCCTCTCTTCGGCCTAGTTTCCTAGGCCAATGGCAGACCGCCTGCGATCCACCAGGATACACCAAGCTCTACTTCGTCCACAAGGACAAGGCCTCTCACGCATTCATTGTCAAGGCCGTGGACTCCGGTTTTGTGGCTTGTCTGCCCATTGCCGCGTTGAGCGACGAGGATCTGGCGGAAGCTCTGGAGGAGCAGTTCAGCGGAGTCTTCGGGCCATGGACAAAAGTAGCTTTGCGAGCCGTCACTGCCAGCGGAAAGGAACTGGCGTCCAAGAGCTGGCCGTGCTTGCTGGTGGACCTCAATGCTTCAGGCATAGACATGTTCAGCGCAGCTCTGCCCGACGTTGGAGAAGTCACTTCTTTCGGCACTCACAGACTACAATCTTCATGGGTTCTGGGCTCTGCTGCCGTAACCGCTTTGGAAACCTTTCTGAACGGAGAAGAGCTTTCAGTGGAGGCCGTCGAGCGCTTGGAAGGGTACTACACGGCTGCTTCGGAGGCCGAACTGGACGCTGTGCCTTTGACATCAGCGCCTTCCATGGATGGAGGTATCTTGCAGCAGCTTCTGGCCCAAGGCCAGCAACAAGCTCAGCTCTTGAGCGGCATTCAGTCCCGGCTGAACTCCCTCGACGAGCTCGAGGCACGGCTGTCTCTTTTGGAAGGTCCTCCTGCGGGGGCCGGTGTGGGCTTGCTATCTGGTGGAACAGAGGGCGAGAAACAGCCAACGTGGGCCCCGCAGCTCTTCAACGAGGGGGTCAAGGCGCGGCTGGACCAAGAACAGCTAAAGCAGCTGCTGGCGCTGGCCGGGCGGGGCCCCAAGAACCTTCAAGATCTGCCAGGACCATCAAGAGCTCCCCCCCGCTTGCTGCAGGCCACTCCGAAGATTTCTCCTCAACCGAAGCTCTCGTTCGCCGTCCCTACCTTCGACATTGGGTCCGAGGACGCCGAGGAGGAGAAAGACGACGTGGGCGCAGGGGCGGAAGGTTCCGACGCTCAGATCCTGAGCAAGCTTTTGGTCCAGCAGACCAAGATCCTGTCCCAACTCACTGCCTCCGCCACGAAGTCTTCGGATCCTCTTCACCTTCTAGGCGGGAGCGGCGGAGGCGGAGACGACGAGACGAAGGTGGCCGGGGTGCGGGGTATGGCTGCAAGGCAGCTATTGAAGGAGCAGTTCCAGAAGCACCCGGAGCGGGTGTACCAGAAAGTCAGGGAGCGCCTGGCTCAGGCTCGCCGCAAAGCATCGCCAGTCGACTTGGAGGCCCGAGACATGTTTCTGCACTTCCAGGAGACGGTCCCCTTGGGCAACTACAAGACCTTGACCTACCTGGCCTTTCTCCTCTGCGACGCGTGGGAGGCGATCGAGCAAAACCGATCGGCCGATGTGTGCGCTCTCATCTCTCTGGGACTCATCTTCTGCGAGCAGGTGGCGAACGAGCAAGGACACACTCGACTGGCATGGCTCCTAACTTGCCGCGAAGACCCGCCGTTCTCGATAGTAGAACAGAGGAAGGCTCCCCGAGCAGAGGTGCCTCACGGCATGCTGTCAGATCCGAGATGGGTGGCTACGCAGTTGGGGTACCTGAAGGACGTCGACCTGATCCAGGACAGGACCGCCAAGGCGCACCACCCGAAGAACCCGAACCACGCCAGCAACCAGGACGAGCCTCCAGGCGGCAAGGGCAAGCGCAGCGGCAGGGGAAGCAAGTATAACGCGGGCGATGGCACCGCTTGACAAGGCAGCTGCCTTGTCTCGAATCCCTTTTTCCTCCAGGCCTGGACGACACCCTCGCTGCTTCGACTTTGTGCGTGCACCTGGTCAAGTTTTTGGCGGGAGCTCGTACCCGGCTCACCGAATTCATTCGTGAAGCATGTGCTCTACCTCCTTTGGGCTCTGCCTCGCATGGCCCTTCCGAACTATGGCCTTGCAATCTTCCGCCTCTTCAGCCTTCTCCCGACAGACGGCTGGTTGGCAGGCGCAAGGCGCGGTGGCATCTTCGAAACCTTTGCAGGCTGTGGACCCGCCACTTGGTTGCAGCGGGAAACTGGCTGGCTCTGGGACGAACAGAGATGCATCCTGCAGCCTTGCCGCCCCTCAGCGCGGTGCAAACTGCAATGCTTGCTCGCCTTGAGAGGCAGGTCATGGTTTGGCTCCGCCTGGGCACAGGCCCCAGACGCGGACTTGAACGTGCAGTCCAGAAGTTTGGCAGCATGGAAGAACAGTTACAGTCACTTTTACAGCAAAGCCACCGCTTACAGTCCCAATTTTCTCCGTACAGTAAGCCAAGCAAGTGCCAAACTCGAAGATCTAATGCCGACTCCAGCGAACGCCCCACTTCGAAAGGTGAGGTGAACAGCATTGCTTCGTTCAATCCAGAAAGGCAAGCAGGGATCGGGTATGGCCCGCTTGAATCTGGAAAATCCTCCTCTACCAGCAGCCTGCGCATCAAGCCTGACAGATTGGTTTTCGAGGTGGCCCCCCAGTTTGATGCTTCTCGGTTCCTAGTTGACCCTCTCCTTGAGAGTGGCTTCGCAGACCCAAGAGCCTTCCTGAAGCCCGAAACCTGCTGGCCAAAAACGAAGCTAGCCCGAGTGCAAGCCGACCGTGATGATCAGCTGGCCCTTTACAAAAAGTGGGACCT